AGGGGTTATTTTCCTGTAAAATGGCCTACTTGAAACGGAAATTGCAATTTTGAAATGGAAATTTTTTTTTTCTAACAATCACATTTGTCAACTGACATTTTAATTTGTTACTATCTTTGCCTTTCCTAACCCACACATACAACAGATATCAAAGGATAAAGTCAGTAATGTTTTAATATATTCTCCTTATCTACTGTCTCCCAACTGCTTACAGTATTTAAGAACCCAGTTTTACGAAGTTAAAAAAAAAAGTGGCAATAGTGGGGAATTGCCTTTTTGTTTTATCCTTTCTTTTTTTTCTATTACACATGGTGACAGAGGTGGGGGCTAGTTTATCATATCAGAAATCCAAATTTTTGCAAATTTGGACTTTATTCATAAATTTTATATAATAATTTCATAAAGAGACCAAAGAATAATGCAGCTTTTTATCTCTAGATGACTTTGTGTTGCTACTTTTTCTATAGGTTTTACCATTTTCACTTAATTCTTATTTAGAATTGCAGAATTCTTTGCAAGGGTTGTCCCAGAAACTCATCAAGTTAGATTAAGGGCTGAAGTATGAGATACAAGAGTAAAACTATCAAAAGCTGGAGCAACTTATCCAATAGGTGGAGAGATCAACTCATAAATTTTTTTCATTTTCCTTTTATTTTCTTGTTTTAATAACATTTATATAGTTGCACTTTCTCACTAAATATTATAATAAAGCAAAAACAGAAATTTTTACTGAAAACTGGGGGGAAAAAAAAATGGATGTAACACTTCTTACCAGTCAGTCCATGGTCAATGCAGCTGCTGGCTGTTGGAATTGGTTATTCCAACCTGCACCTGTCTCTGTCCCACGTTGTGTTGATTCATCATGGTGCTGGCAAAGATCAAATTGTCATCAACAATTGTAACATTGGCTCGATCTCGATGAAGCTATGCCACCTAAGAAAAATAAAAGATATTCTTGCAAATGAAATAAAGATGAGAATTTCTTCAGGGTCTATTTCTATGTGCTTTATATCATTATTTATACAGAAATATTAACCCTTCCCACTTTGAATTCTATCGTGACACTTTGCTCAATTTTGCTAAGTCTGGAACAAGTCCTAAGTCAGAGGTTCTCTCTGGCAGTAATTCACATTGGATTCAGCAGAGTAATTATCGCTCGTCATCTGTACGTCAGAACTGGCATCTCTTGAACTACTCACTTGTTTGCTTCAGTGTTCTGCTTATATTGACTTTCACCCAAAACTGTCAATGTGGTTAGGGGACTGTTGTGGTAAACCCTCCTACAGTATAATGAACTCTTCCTTCTCTCATTAATACAAACTGCGAGAGTCAGATACGGGGAGAAGAGAGTCTAAAGTGAGTAAAGTAGTAGATGCAGTGCTAATTTACTAACACTATTGTTTTGTATATATCTTCAATATACTTTTTCAACTGACCTTCGTCTTCCATGTCTTTCTTTCTGGCCCCTAAACAGGCCACAACAGGGACACAGTGTTTCTCCTAACTTACAACAAGAGTCCTTTTGTTTTCTGGTTCTGGAAAATTAATTATATCTCCATATTTGGAGAGATTCCTTTTCCTATGTGTAGCGGTCACAGGGTATCAATCCGTCCCAGTAACTCCTTCCTTCTCTTATTTGTGCCTCATACTAACACCTTTTAATGGGCATAGGTAATTCTTCCATCTTCCTCCTCCTTTCTTAGTATCTAATCTTCGCCTGTCACCTCAGTTGTCTGTTCGATGAATCTGGTTCTCAAACTGCGTGGCATGACTTAGTTTCGGGTCATTAATTAGAATTATTATTTTAATTTTGTTGTCAGCAAATTTTTCCTGGCTTGATTTTGTTTACACAATCAGAAATTTATCAGCTTTTTCTTCCAATCATTCATCCCCACACCCTGCCAGGGTCATCGCACTCCAAGCATCCTGGGTTCAGGTTCTTACATAAAATAATTCCATTACCTCGACTTGTTTATCATTTCACTTTTTGATAAGTAAAATCTTTAAAATTACCAATTTCTATTAATCAATTGGTGTTTTCATAACTGGCACTTTTAGGCAGCGTCTTCAATCAGTTGTCAGCCTAGCCTTGCCACTTGGCATTTTCCAACAAAGTAACTTCCTTCAGTCATCTTTGTTTAAACAGACTTTTAAAATTAAACTTTCTCTCAGTCTGTCTATTGTTCTATTCTTTTACCCTTTTTGTCTTGTTTCAAGCTTATATTTTTAACTTAACCTTTTCTTTCTGATTGCCAGTGTCACATAGTGTCACACAAAATTCTGTATTGAAAACGGAAAATAACAGATTTCCCTAAAATCTGAAATGGAATTAAGAAAGATTTGAAATGGAAAATTAGTCCCTCTAATGGCACAGAATTGTTAATCAGACAATCCCAATTTTGTTTATTACATTCACTTACTTGTAAAATACCTGCTCTTTTTAGAGGTAAAGAAAAAAAAAACTGTCAAGTGATCGTAGCAACAGCAATAGATTTTTTGTTTCTCGGTCGCAACACAATCTCCTCCAACAATCGCCCTGCTCCGGAGAAGCTATTTCGGCATTTACTTTGTCTGTGTAACATCAGCAAGCAACCATAACTCAGATTTACTAAAATCTGTGCATTGCCAAAGCGGACATCCCAGTGTAAAATGGACCCTATATTTTGTGAGGCAGATTTATCCCTCCATATCCAAAGCTGCTGTCTGGGCAGTGGTCAGAGAATGCTAGGACATGTCTTGGTATGCCATCAACCAGCACAGAGCGCGAGTTACTTACTCCAGTGACATCGCTCGATTATGCCATTTCCTGATGGGACATACACGCAGCGAAATCTGAGGTGTACTCCCCACGAATCAAAAAAATCTTTGAATAGTCCACTCCGGAATGCAGTGTCGTCAGTGAGGAGTTCCGTCGGAGGTCCATTCCAACACGGAACGTCTGAAATGGCCACAGTGACGGGTGCACACGTACCTGCAAGTAGGCCTCATCCCGTTGATGGCCGTGGTACAAAAGAGGAACGAGATACTGCTTAACCTGAATGGGATTCGGACTCAATGTAGCGCTGGCCATCTTGAAAGCCATCGTGGATGCTGTGCTATCCAAGGATGAGACAATTCGTCAAGCGACGTCAGCTTACATTGACGACATCTACATCAACGAAATCTTAATACCCGCTGCACAGATGAGAAAGCATCTTGCTGACTTTAGGCTCGAATGTAAGAACCCAGAACGACTGGAGGATAGTGGTCGTGTGCTCGGCTTGCAGGTCTGGGGGGAGCACAACATGCTTTACTGGAAATGTGGAAGCGATCTCCCGGACATTCCCAGACACATGACACGACGCAGCATGTTTTCGTTATGTGGAAAGCTGGTGGGACAAACACGCGTTGTTGTTGGTGAGAAGTGAAAGTTGGATTTGTGACCCCATTTTGTTGTCTCTATGTCGGACTATCATGTGGACTGCGATTTGGCTACAAGTGTTGCGACCGAGAAACAAAAAATCTATTGCTGTTGCTATGATCAGTTGACAGTTTTTTTTCTTTACCTCTACAGGTCTTACAATATTTTCTGGCTTTAAATAACCTGCAAATGGTTGATAAGCTGTAGAAAACGAATCACTCAATCAATGAAATACTGATTAGCTACACGAGCCTGTCTTTTAGATTTATTTACATTCTCTAGAATATAAATGTATAGAAACTACTCTGGCTACAAAGTGAGGGATCAGTTTATATATAGATTGTAATATAGAATTGACCCCCCACTTTATATCCATGTTGTAATTTCTTGTTTGTTGGTAAGCCGTAGAAAGTGAATCAATCAATCAATCAAATACTGATTAGCTACACAGGCATGTCTTTAAGATTTATTTACATTCTCTGGAATAAAAATGTGTAGAATCTACTCCGGCCACAAAGTGAGGGATCATTTTATATATTGATTGTAATATAGAATTGATCCCCCACTTTGTATCTACATTATAATTTCTTTTTTGTTTATCAAGTTATGATTAGGTATTAATCCACATCTAATTACCCCAAACTATGGGTTAATTAGTAAGACTTGCATCACTAAACCATTATTATCTCCAAAAGCATTCTCACAATTTAAAAATATTTTCTGGTTTTAAATAACCTGCAAAGAGTTGATAAAGCATGGAAATCAATTAATCACTATATCCACTTACCCACTAAGATTTGAAGTTCCACACCTGGAGGCCAAGTGCTTCACATCTGAGAATCCATGTGTGAGTTGTGATCTTACTTATTATAAAATGCAGATTGTGTGTGTGTGTGTGTGTGTCTGTACGTTTATATATTGGATCGGATTTTCTACATTTTTCAACCAATTTCAACAAAACTTCACAGGACTACGCAAAATTACCTTGCGGTGGTTCTAACAGCGCCAAAAAGTGGAAAAGCACAATTGTTTTTGTGAAAATAAATTTGAAAACACGATTAATCGCGAGAATGAAAGGGGGACAACTCATATCGATTTATACTTATAAAAGCCAGGTTGTTTTTGTGTCTGTGTGTTCATGTATATATGGGATTAGATTTCCTATATTTTTCAACCAATTTCAACAAAACTTCACTTTTTTTTTAGCAGGTAGTGTTTCTTATTGTCTTGCACACTTTTTTCTTTATTTTTAAATTCAGAATGATTTAAATATTCCATTTACAAGACAATTGTTTATAAAAAAAATTCTATTCAATCGATAGACTCATAACGATTGAAAACAATGCTTTTGTTTGAGTTTGACCAATTCGTCAAAAAAAAACAAAAAAACTAATTAAGACATGCGTGTCCGTCAACCTTAAATTGACCTTTGTCAATTTTATTTTTCAGTCTTTATGATGGTCGATACTTGATCTATCTCTTACTGTTACATCCCCGGGCAACGCCGGGCTCTACTGCTAGTATTTAATATAAATTGGGTTATATTTGTAGCCTGAAGGCATCAAACTCTTGCCAATTCCAATTCTTTTTATTTCTTCAGGAAGCTGTGTCTCGGAAAGTCCAAGCAGATCTACAGAACAATCCCGGATTAGTGTCAGCCATGTTTGGACCAGAGAAAGAAAATTATTCTGAAGCCCAAACTAATGCCAAAAATCCCAAATCACCAATTCTTACAGAGATAAATGGTAATAGTGCCACCACCAAGAAAGGTTGGTCATAATACACTTTTTGATGAAATCTCAAATATTTTTTTTGGGAAATTGTGAATAAAATATACAGAGTAGGATGGGGGTCTGTAAATGGAACAAGAAGTGTGTCAGGGATGTTTGTAATTGGAACGTGGAAAGGTGGAGAGTGATCTTCAAAATGTAAAAGTGGAGAGATGTCTGCGAATGGACAGTGGAAAGATGAGGTATGTCTGCAAGCGAAAGAGAGGAAAGATTCTTGGGTGTCTGCTAATGGAAGGGGGCCATATTGAGAGAATGTCTTCAAAAGGAAGAGGGAAAGCTTTTGGATGCCTGCAAGCGGAAAAGGGGAAAGATTGTGTGATGTCGGCTAATGGCAGGGAGAAAGATTATCAGATGTCTGCAAAAGGAAGAGGGAAAAGATTGTCGGATGTCTGCAAATGAAAGGTGGAAAATGTTGGGTGCTGCCTGCTAATGGTAGAGGAAAAGGTCATGAGTTGACTGCTAACAGAAGGAGAAAAGATCATGGGTTGTCTGCTAATAGAAGGGGAAAAAGTTGTGGGCTGTCAGCTAACAGAAGTGGGAAAGGTCATGGGCTGTGTTAACGGAAGGGAGAAAAGGTCATGGGCTGTCTGCTAACAGAAGGGAGAAAAGGTCATGAGTTGTCTGCTAACAGAAGAGCAAAAGGTCATGGGTTGTCTGCTAACAGAAGGGCAAAAGGTCGTGGGTTGTCTGCTAACAGAAGGGCAAAAGGTCGTGGGCTGTCTGATAATGGAAGGGCAAAAGGTTGTGGGCTGTTGGCTAACAGGAGAGTGAAAAGTCGGGGGCTGTCTGCTAACAGAAGGGGGAAAAGGTCATGGGCTGTCTGCTAACAGAAGTGGAAAAGATCATGGGCTGTCTGCTAACAGAAGTGGAAAAGGTCATGGACTGTCTGCTAACGGAAGGGGGAAAAGGTCGTGGACTGTCTGCTAATGGAAGGGGGGAAAAGGTCGTGGGTTGTCTGCTGACGGAAGGGGGAAAAGGTCGTGGGTTGTCTGCTAACAGAAGGGGGAAAAGGTCGTGGCTTGTCTGCTAACGGAAGGGGGAAAAGGTCGTGGCTTGTCTGCTAACGGAAGGGGGAAAAGGTCGTGGGTTGTCTGCTAACGGAAGGGCAAAAGGTCGTGGGCTGTCTGATAATGGAAGGGCAAAAGGTTGTGGGCTGTTGGATAACAGGAAGGGAAAAGGTTGGGGGCTGTTGGCTAACAGAAGGGGGAAAAGGTCGGGGGCTGTCTGCTAACAGAAGGGGAAAAGATCATGGGCTGTCTGCTAACAGAAGTGGAAAAGGTCATGGACTGTCTGCTAATGGAAGTGGAAAAGGTCATGGACTGTCTGCTAATGGAAGGGGGAAAAGGTCGTGGACTGTGTCTGCTAATGGAAGGGGGGAAAAGGTCGTGGGTTGTCTGCTAACGGAAGGGGGAAAAGGTCGTGGGTTGTCTGCTAACGGAAGGGGGAAAAGGTCGTGGGTTGTCTGCTAACGGAAGGGGGAAAAGGTCGTGGCTTGTCTGCTAACGGAAGGGGGAAAAGGTCGTGGCTTGTCTGCTAACGGAAGGGGGAAAAGGTCGTGGCTTGTCTGCTAACGGGAGAGGAAATGATAGTTGGGTGTCTGTAAATGGAAGGGGAAAGGTCGGAGGATAGCTGCACATGGAAGATTGAAATTTGGTGTGATGGGTCTGTGAATAGAACACAGAAAGTTGGGGAAATATCACCAAATATAATTGGGGTGGTAGTCCATAAATTGAGGAAACTTAAAAGTATTTTGCTTTGAAAGAATTTTTTTTTTTTAGAATAGTTCACATGCTGAACAAAACTGATTTATTATTTGTCATAAGAAAACAATGGTAAAATTTTCAGAAGTCACTGTTTGTTCTTCTTTGTTTACGAACTCTTCTTAAAATTTTTTAAAATTCAAATGCTCCAAACAGTAAAGCCAGGATTGTAGTTACTGCCTTCAAAATATCTGCAACATGAGAAGCTACATGGATAGCTGCTTCTGTAGACAAAGACTAGCTGTTTGGCAAAAGAATATAGAATCATTTGATAAGGCTAACAAAAGCAGAAGCAGCCCTTACAACAACAATGTATAAAGGGATAAAGATTAAAAAATTAAAAGGCTACCTTCTGCAAATATTTATAATGTTTGATATCTTTATAAATTTCTAAATAAAAAGGCCACTGAGAAAAAAAACATATTTAAGGTCTTATAGAAGGCAAATAATTAAAAATACATGTAAAATACTAGTCATTAAATAATGTGATGCAAAATTTGCCTTCCAAAAGCTAAGCAAAGTATTAAGACACAGGAAAATTTCATTAGAAACAAAGAAAAGAGTACTGAACTGTCATATAAGTCCTCCGATATGGTAGTGAATGCTGGACAATCTCCTAAAAGACGAAGAAGAGACTTGAAGCAAGAGAAACAAAGAAAAGAGTACTGAACTGTTATATAATATCAGTCCTACTATATGGCAGTGAATGCTGGACAATCTCCTCACAGATGACGAAGAGACTTGAAGCAAGAGAAACAAAGAAAAGAGTACTGAACTGTTATATAATATCAGTCCTACTATATGGCAGTGAATGCTGGACAATCTCCTCACAGATGACGAAGAGACTTGAAGTAACACAAATGTGGTTCAACAGAAGGATGCTGAAGATACCATGGACTGAAGATATGAACAACAATGTTTTAGAGAAAATGGAAACAAAAACGACACAATTGCCCTTAACATCAGATAGAGATAGTTGAAATTTTTAGGGCACATAATGAGGAAAGAAGGCTTGTAAAATTTGATACTCACAGGACATATGGAAGGCAAGAGGGGCAGAGAGAAACAACACCTAACTTACCTTGTGAGTTTGAGTAAATGGATGGTGGAACAGGATTTAGGAGAAATAAAAAGAAAATTTAGTAAGCTACAGAGGACAGGAAATTGTGGAGAGCCATGATTGCCAACGTCCTAATATTTCCTTTGACTTTTAGATAATTTTGCATGAAATGACTCAGTTTGTGACACCAAAAAACCTCACCTCAACTTTTAGATTTTTAAAAAATATTAGCTGAATCCATTGCCTTCACTTTGGTTCATGCAGTTGTCTCCCTTACTTTATGCAATTTTCTTTCTTGTTCAATCGTTTTATAATTTACTATATTCTGTTTCTTTCCTTTTTAAGATCAATATTTGGATTTTGATGAAGATGACAATCTTTCCGATATTAATGATGCTATTTCTAAATGTAAGTCAAAATATATTTCATTTAACCAATTCTGTCTGGCACAAAGCTATTCCTTATTTTCCAAATGTTCCAGTTCTGTGATAGAATTTTTCTAATCAGTTGTCGATATGGCACCATAAATCTGTTTTTAAGCAGAATTTCTGGAAAATGCAACAATGTATGATTTTCTCAAATGCCAAATTACTACTATTATATCCAGATTTAATTAGTCCTGGTTATGACGACAAACTACATCTGGCAGCAACGCCTCTGATCATGAAATTGGAGTGTTTGAGGATATGTGGAATCACCTCTTAATTGCTGCTGTTTTCAGGTCCATTGTTCACCTGGGGTGGTAGCACCTGTTAGGGTCCCAGCTATGAGCAAATAGTAAACCCTCAAACAAAAAACTATGAAAGTATAAAAATACATTTTTTTAATAAAAATGCTGGCAATATATTATTATATAAAAAAAATTACCAACAATAACTATTTCTAGTAAAATTACCAACAATAACTATAGCAACATTTATTTTTAAAGCAAAATCACCAGCAATGCATTTTATTTGTAGTTGAAGCCATACAATTACATTCAAAATATTTAGATTTCAGCATTAAATAACCTATAGAGGTTGATATTTAGCTAAACAATGAATCAACTAATTCAAATTGATGTCCTTCTCCGGGTTGTTATAGAAACTCGATTTTGACCATTTTATTCTCTGGCCTTCTTTTGGTGCCTGTTGGTTAACATTCTGGGAAGTTTGAACCCCACACTATCTGGATAGTATCCTATAGCATTTTTGCCCCCCAAAGACATTTCACTGATGTCAGTCCTTCATCAAAAGAGGATATGCACTAGAATTGTGTACATAATTCCATGCAGTTGTGGCAAAGAATATAGATCAGAAAATTAAGTTCTGAAGAGAGACTATGAAATCAGCCATGGCTGATCATGTGTAGAAGGGACTCCAGGATTAAAATTTAGTTAAAAACAATATGAGAAAAGGAGATAATTAAAAGTATCAGCACATATGCTATGCTTTAAAACCTTCTTAGGACATGCATAGAAATGAACACTAGATGAAATCATTTGATGAGGAAAGTTAAATTTTTCTGAGAAATGACCTCGGAGATACAAGGGTGGACTGAAAAGTCCATAGCCTGACTATGAAGGGCTGTGAAATCTTGCATTGTTTCTTGCTCGATAAAATTGACTGTTCAAAGAAGACAGTTATCAACAGCAGATATGGTGCCATCATCACTGCGATACTTGTTCCCAGCCAAGTGTTTTTTTCTGTTGTGGAACAGATGATAATTAAACCAGGAGAATATTTGTGGGTGGGGTTGATCAACCCGTTCAAAGCCACCATCATCCACTGCAGCCATGAAATAGCAACAGGATTCAATTCTAATGATCCAAATCACCTGAAGCAAATTTAAGGAATCAACCATACATGGTTTTCATGTCTGAATGCAAATAATTTTAATAGAGTTTTCAAATCTAGGGTCAACTGATATCTGTCTTATTTATCCTCACAATAAGCATCCAATTCCTACTTCCCTCTCCCTAAGGTGGTCCTTATAACAATCTTAGTAATCCTCTATCTTGATTGGCCCCTTACATTTAATGTGTTGTTATATTGGATGGAATAAATCCAAAATGCAAGAAGTCTTATCCACCATGTGTCATGGTAAGGGGCATAATAGGGTAGAGGGAATTACCTGGTTTATGGATTTTAACAAATTTAAAATATACCTTTAACAGGTAGCACTTTTTTTTTTTTTTTCACCTTATTTTGCTTAAGTACTGATGATGACTTACATAAGTTGAAAGCTTGGTAGTCTTGGGTATGATGATAAACTACATCTGGCAGCAAGGCCTCTGATTAGGAGATTGGAAGTTTTAAAGAGAGTGGAACCACCTCTTAATTGCTGTTGTTCCCAGGTCCACCCTTCCGACAGCAAGATCACTTATTGGGAGATTGGTGGTTTTGAGGAGTGTGGAACCATCTCTTAATTGCTGTTGTTCCCAGGTCCACCCAGACCTGGGTTTGGTAGCACCTGTTGATCCTAGCTATGGGCAAATAGTGAACTCTCAAATCAAAGCAAAACACTATGAAAGTGTAACAATACATTTTTATGAAGATGCCATTTATATTTAACATTACCAACAGTACCTATTTCATAGTAAAATTCTTAACAATATATCTTTAAAGAAAAATTACCAATACATTTTATCTGTAGCTGAAGCTATAAAATTGTGTTCAAAATATTTCGATTTCGGCATTTAATAACCCATAGATGTTGATATACCGCTAAACAAAATCAGCCAAACAACCAATATGAAAGAACTCTTTCATGACATTAATCCATAAAATATCCTACAATTTCTTATTCAAACTGTATTCCAAAATATAATATTTCTGAGATGAGGTATTATGTACATTATTTACATTATTCGGACTATTGTCCTCATCTTTGTCGCCATATTTATTACAATGTTTCAGCCCTTGTACACTCCGGCGTTCTTCAGGTGGTAGACTGTTCTAGTTCCATGTGCCATGTTTAATGGATGTCAGTTATCAGTTATCTCCTGTTAATTTCCCTCTTAAAGTTCTCCACTGCCTTAACCGGGTATTGAACTCACACTCTTTGGGTCCTGTCACTGGACGTTAGTTAGATCCAGTGACATGACTCAAAGAGTGTGAGTTCAATATCCGGTTAAGGCAGTGGAGAACTTGGAGAGGGGAATTAACAAGAGATAACTGACATCCATTAAATATGGCATGTGGAACTAGAACAGTCTACCCCAGTGAGCAAAATAAAGGGTTCAGTTCGACATTCCAACCACCTGAAGAAGGCAGGAATGTACAATGGCCGAAACGTTGTAATAAATATGGCAACAAAGATGAGGACAATAGTCTGAATAATGTAAATAATGTACATAATACCTCATCTCAGAGATATAGACAGATATTAAACGTCCTTATTCAAAACTTCAAGACTATTATAGCTGTCAGTATGCCATAAAATGACATTCAGAGTCAAGTATCTTTTGGACTTGTCATATGATTTAAAAAGCTTTCTTTAGTAATCAATGATTATTATATTGTCGTTAGTGTGGCATAAAAATACATTCAGGATGAATTACCTTGGGTAAGGGATTAACGACTTGTTACATGTTTTAAAAAACTTTCTTTTGTACTGTATGATTATTATGTTGCTGTTGATGTGGCATAAAAATACATTCATTCATTCTTTTAATGTTTCAGTCTCGTTCAGTCCTGACCAGAGGCGAGTGCAGACAGAAACCAAATTCATGAATGAAGTCCGTCTTCTAAGGCAGCGTTTAGCCAGAGAGAGTCGCTTGAAGAAACCGCCACCATGAACATTGTGAAGTTCTTTGATTGCTTTGCTCTTTATTTGGATTCTTGCTCAATCAGTCTTAACTCATTGTACCCCAGGGGTGATTTAAGGTGCAGAAGACTCAACCATTAAATTCAATCTATTCTCTCGACACAATTAAGATATCACTGTGCCTTCAGGTTTTTTTCATCTGACAGCCATATAATTCAACAATTTTATCATTTTAGAAACATTTTCAGTCAGGCTAATTTTTTTCTCTGCTATTTATTGTAATGATCTTGCAAGAAATATCTGCCTTACCCTGTTCCTATCTAACATCTCCCTTGCCTTGTTCCTTTCTAATATCTCCTCTATTTTGTTTCTATCTAACATCTTTACCTTGCTCCTGTCTAATATCTTCTTTACCTTGTTCTTATCTGACATTTTCCTTTACCTTGCTCCTGTCTAATATCTTCCTTTACCTTGTTCTTATCTGACATCTTCCTTTACCTTGTTTTTATCTGACATCTCCCTTACCTTGTTCCTATCTAACATCTCCTCTACTTTGTTTCTATCTAACATCTTTACCTTGCTCCTGTCTTATATCTTCCTTTACCTTGTTCCTGTCTGACATCTTCATTTACCTTGCTCCTAACCTTCATTTCTTCACATCTGTGATGCCTGGAAACAGTTCAGCTTCTCTTGAAGATGCTGAATCAAAACTGTTGGTATCCTTTCACAGACCAACAATTTTATATTTAAATAAAGGAAAAATATATGAATTTACTGAGAATACCAACAATACTATGTAAACTTTTCTTTTTTCATTAATATGACTTTGGGAAGATGAACCGCTTTTGGATATATATTTCTCATATCTTGCGATTGGTTACTTTTACAACTTGAATCTTTTCCAGCAAATCACATTTGAGACATGCCATCTTACAATCAAGATCAGTCAATCAAAATCAAGATACAGTGTCTTATTTAAAATCCAGATCTTTTTCAGCCAATCATGTTTAAAACATATTCTCCTGTTTTTTGTTCAGTTTGATGAATTTTTAATCTATATTTTGAAATTACCAATTTTTATAATTTCAGTTAATTTTTTATGGAATAAAATATTAAAGCCTTCATCTTTCTGGAGTGCATTCACCTTTTTTATTAACAAATTTCAGAAAAGCAAAGAATGTTTTTTTCCAGTTCTTCATCCACTGATTCTCAATATCTCATGATGGAGGAAATGGAACAGATTCTCGTTGACTTTACTGAGCAACCCAAGGACGTGAAGATTATATGTCAACCCAATTCAGGAAATAAACATGGGAAGAAAATCTACACAAATGTCATCAAACCAATCTTCAGAAACGTCAACATTCAGATTGATTATTCTGGGCCCTGTTCGAAATTCAAAGAAATATCACCTGAAGAAAGCCGGAGTGTACAACGGCTGAAACATTGTGAATGTGAAAATAAAGAGGAGGACAACAGTCTGAATAATGTAGATATTGTAAATATTTCCATGTTTATTCCAATTTTCTTCCCAACATTATTTACTTATATAAGGTAACCAAAAAAATCCTTGTTGTTTTTTATGTTGCGTGACAAATCAACATTGATATTCAAATGAGTGGTTCACATGCCAGGAAAGTTTTGGGGTGGGTTCATTGCTCTTGACCAATGCATGTATGTTGCACATTAGTCATAGCTGAAGTAACAGCGAGGAAACATGGTAGTGTCAAAGCAACTTGTTCAAATTTGTCTGCTTTTTATATATATATATATATATATATATATATATATATTATAAATTAATTGATTTAAGATGTGTTTTTTTTGCTACACAGTTCTAACCATGTTTCAAAAATGGAAGCTAAAAGCCCCAAATTTAAATTTTGTAATTAAATTAAAGACATTAGTTCCATTTCATCCTCAAGTGAATTTACGCTTGAGTATGAAATGGAACTAATGTCTTTAATTTAATTACAAAAATAAAATTGGAGCTTTCACCTTCCTTTTTTGAAACATGGTTAGAACTGTGTAGCGAAAAAAAATTTTAAATCAATTAATTTATAATATTAATGCTCCGTAAATTTACATTGAGCACTATTTTGTAAAAATAAAAATATCTATAAGAACACCGGATTATATATCTTACTTTTCTTTCTTTTTATTTATATATATATATATATATATATATATATATATGTGTGTGTGTAGGGTTTGATTGATAAATCATCATCTAAATTGCACAAAAATATCTTAAAATGCTAAAGAGTAAATTTATTCAATAAAATCACCATTGGCTTCAGCCACGGCCTCCAGACGACTTTAGAATCTTCTGCAACTCTTCTGGACAGTCTCCTTGTTTTAGTTGGTGAATGCTGCCATAATCCTTGCCTTCAGTTCATCTTTGGAGTTACAAGGAGTTTTGTTGGTCTCTTGCCCAACTATGCCCACATGTAATAATCAAGGGAGTTGCAGGCTGGGGAGTTAGGTGGCCAGATGTAAGGGATGATGTGGCCACAGAAATTGTCTGACAGCTAAGACTGGGTTCTCCTGTTTGTGTGGCATGGTGCCAGACATAGGGTCTTCCAGCAGCCACCCTCTTCACCCTGGGCAGAACTACCTCCTCAAAGCATTTGAAGTATGTCTTTGTGTTGAGTCTGTAACCCTCACCATCAAATTCAAGAGTTCTTATCAGAATGATCAGAGTGAGTTTTATGAGCTGCCGTACCTTCATAATCACCATTAGACTCGTCCAACTCTTTCTGAATCCTCTGCACTAACCTCAGATTGACACAAAAACACTCTAGAATGATTGTATTGGAGCTTCTGATGTGAGTGCCAAACAGTACAACATGCCGTTCCCAAATTTCTGTTGGAGTGAATTGTGTCATGGTGCGCTTTTTATCACAGATGGTGCCCAACTGATCCTACTATACTGTACAGTTGACAAAATTGAAAATATAAAATAAAAATATAAATATATATATATATATATATTTATAAAAACAAACACATGTGTGGTTCAAAATTGAAAATATAAAATAATGGCATAAACGTTTTTGGTTGTAATGTGGATTTATTGAGAAAAAATATTATATTGTTTTACATAATTTCATGATATATATATATATATATATATATATATGAAAGAAAAAATATACATTAAAAAATTAAACAAAAATCTTAATATGCAATTCGATATGAGACATTCTGTTTATTAATGAATTTTCTTTTAATATATATATATATATATATATATATATATTATGGTGAAAAAATATACAGAAAGACCATCATCAGGACATATTCATAAAACATAATTATCACTATAAAACATATTCAAATTCAACATGAAAAAGACGATGGACATAAGAGCACGACTAATCCAAACAGATAACTGAAATTTTTATATAAGATTAGCGTTCCATTTAAATATGATCACGTCATCATCACATGGGCGATGTTGTGAAAACGTATTCGAAGATGATTTCAAAATATTAAATAAACTTGATTGAACTATTTTCTCATATAAACAGTTCATTAAGAAATCCTTTCCGTTCTTATAGGAATACACAGAGATCAATAGATTCTTATATTTTCATGCAAGCTTGAAGTCTTCCATTTTATAAAGTAAATCAAAAATGATTTCAAAATATTAGATAAGCTCGATGGAACAATTTTCTCATATAAACAGTTAAGATTTTTGTTTGTTTTTTCTGTATATTTTTTTCATACTGATCTCCGCATATTCCTGTAAGAAAGGAAAGGATTTCTTAACGAACTGTTTATACGAGAAAAAATCATATTTAAACGGAATGCTGATCTTATATAAAAATTTCAGATATCTGTTTGGATTAGTCGTGCTCTTATGTCCATCATCTTTTTCATGTTGAATTTGAATATGTTCTAGTGTTAATTATGTTTTATGAATATGTCCTGATGATGGTCTAAAATAGACCGAAACATCCGACGTTTACATTATATTAACATTAATACAACATAATTGCATATTAAGATTTTTGTTTGTTTTTCTGTATATTTTTCTTCATTCTTGAAAAGTCTTGGAAAAATGACAGGGCTTGAAAAGTTCTGGAATTTTCTAAATTAGGCTGCCCACACATCCTTTTTCTCAATACATGAAAGTCAAAATGCCAAATATCAGAAATCTGGCTTTTTTTATAAGCTAAAATATCCTTTAAGATAAATGTGTTGTTTTTTTTTATATTGTGTAACAAGTGATCATTGATATGCAAATGAGTGGTTCACATGCCAGGAAAGTTTTGGGGTGGGTTCATTGCTCTTGACCAATGCATGTATGTTGCACATTAGTCATAGCTGAAGTAACAGCGAGGAAACATGGTGGTGTCAAAGCAGCTTGTTCAAGATTGTCTGCTTTATGACTTTAAGGTGGGGTGGTGCACAGCCCCATCAAGTCACTGAATGTATTAAGCCCTTGGGGATAATACTTTGAGTGAATGCATTGTTAGGCATTGGTTCCAAAAGTCCAAGGATCTCTTCCTTTGTGATAAACCCTACAGTGGCTGGCTGTGAAGGTAGCCATAGAGGAAGACAACAACCAAATCTGTTTCCAAGTTTCTGATGAAACAGACTTCATCTGCACTGCATAGAGAAGGTGTATAAATTAAGCAAGTGGGTACCCTACACATTATGACTAGGAGCTACCTCTTGAAAATAGATAAAATTTGGCATTGTGGTGTTATCAACAAGGTTTGTAAAGCTCTTGGAAACCTTTCCTGTAAAATTAACAGGGCCTTTTCCAGGGCTTGAAAAGTCCTGGCAAAACAGCAATAGCCCAAAAGCTCCTTGAAAAACCCTGGAATTTTCTAAATTAGGCTGCGCACAAATTCTTTTTCTCAATACATGAAAGTCAAAATGCCAAATCTCAGAAATCTGGCTTTCTTTATAAGCTAAAATGTCCTTCAGTATCTGTCTATATTTCTGAGATGTCGTATTATGTACACTATTTACATTATTCGGACTATTGTCGCCATATTTATTACAACATTTCGGCCC